TTGTAGACCATTGTAGATTGTGTCTATGGGAAGGTTTGACCATTCTTCAAGAAGCGCATTTGTGAGGTCAGGCACTGATGTCGGACGAGAAGGCCTGGCTCGCAATCTCCGCTCTAATTCATTCCAAAGATATTCTATCGGGTTGAGGTCAGGACTCTATGCAGGCCAGTCAAGTTCCTCCACCCCAAACTCACTCATCCATGTCTTTATGGTCCTTGCTTTGTGCACTGGTGCGCAGTCATGTTGGAACAGGAAGGGGCCATCCCCAAACTCTTTCCACAAAGTTGGGAGCATGAAATTGTTCAAAATGTATAGGTATGATGACGCCTTAAGAGTTCCCTTCACTGGAACTAAGGGGCCAAGCCCAACCCTTGGAAAACAACCCCACACCATAATCTGCCCTCCACCAAACTTTACACTTGGCACAATGCAGTCAGGCAAGTACCGTTCTCCTGGCAAACCCAGACACGTCCATTTTATTGCCAGACAGAGAAGAGTGATTGGTCACTCCAGAGAACACGTCTCCACTGCTCTAGAGTCCAGTGGCAGCGTGTTTTACACCACTGCATCTGTTGCTTTGCATTGCACTTGGTAATGAAAGGCTTGGATGCAGCTGCTCGGCCATGGAAACCCATTCCATGAAGCTCTCTACGCAATGCTGTTGTTCTAATCTGAAGGCCACACCAAGTTTGGAGGTCTTTAGCTATTGACTCTGCAGACAGTTGGCGACTTCTGCACACTGTGCGCTTCAGCATGTGCTGATCCCGCTCTATCATTTTCTATGGCCTACCACTTGGTGGCTGAGTGGCTGTTGTTCCCAGTTGCTTCCACTTTGTTATAATCCCACTAACAGTTGAGCGTGGAATATTTAGTAGCCAGGAAATGTCACGGATGGACCTATTGCACAGGTGGCAACCTATCACGGGACCACGCTTGGAGTCGCTGAGCTCCTGAGAGCGACCCATTCTTTCCCAAATGTTTGTAGAAGTAGTCTTCATGCCTAGGGGCTTGATTTTATACACCTGTGGCCATGGAGGTGATTGGAACAGCTGAATCCAATGATTTGGAGGGCTGGACAAAATCATTTGGCAATATAGTGTATATCTGTATAGAGGATGCAATGGATAGAGAATTGAGAGACTGCTTATCACTTTATTGAAACTGTGACTGGTGCAATAAAATTGTGTTGGACTATGCTGCTGAGTAAGGGCTGAATATTTGAACCTAACGAAAGTTCGACTGTAAACTTCAAACAGAGGGGACAATTCACTAAGCGGTAATCTACCTCATCTGAGTATTCGGTAAGATGCCACACAGCTACTAAAAACATTCTTTAATGTTTTAGCTGTCAGCGGGGTTCCCCGTTGACAGCTGAATGTAAAAAGAATTACCGGCATTGGCCGGCAATTAAATTTTTTTTTAAAAAAATGCATGGGGTCCCTCTTCCAATCCATACCAAGCCCTTCAGGTCTGGTATGGATTTTGAGGGGAACCCCCACGCCTGTCACGGGACCCCGCTTGAATTCACTGAGCTCCTGAGAGCGATCCATTAGAGTTTAGTATATGAAGTAAAGCTTCACTTTGCCAAGAATACCCAATCACATGCAAGGAAAATAATAAAAAAACAGCATTTTTGTTTGCACATGATTGGATGATGGAAGTCAGCAGAGTTTCTGCTCATTTACTAAGCTCTGGAGCAACTGCACTTTGCAAAGTGCACTGTCTAATTGCCTTTAGAAAATCAACCCCTAAGTGTCACTTTTGTCTGCTGCTTTGTCCCTGAGACACTTCTGACAGGTTTTCCTGACACCAAGAGAAAAATGGGGACAGGAGGGGGACCTCCAGAAGATTGACAGCCTCAGCTCTGTCCCTGTGTGCTGTGTGAAGAAGGGGTTGTCTTTTCCCCCCAATCAGCTCTCAAAGCTCTCCTCACTGACCTCTGCAGTGTGTAATTTAAGCTCTGCATACCTTTTGTTGATTATTATAAGAAAATATTCCCTTCCTGCTTTTGTGTTAGAAATGCCTCTGACATTTTTCTGAACTCTCAGATAAGCTTTATAAATTCAGCACTTTGAATGGATGTAGAGAAGAGAAGACTGCAGGCAAACAGGTACAACTTATTCAGGAGGATTTATTTAATCTCTGTGTATCACCTTAGGCCAGGGCCAACATCAGGGGGGGACAGCCCATACATATGAAGGGGGGCCTGGGCCCCAACCAATCAGTTGCTGTTCCGCCGGTTCTGGTTCTTACTGCCAGATCCACACAGCGGACCGTCCACTGGAGTTCTCAGCTATAGAGAAACAGATGCCATGTCAGGAGGCGGGAACTGTCTGGCGAAAAAATTCAGCTGACGGGCGCGGGATAATAGAGTGAAGGGGGAGGAGCTCTCCACTGTGTTAGGGGACCCCGTGTTGGCAGAGGCGCAGTGGAGGTGCAGACAAGGGAGCCAGGCAATAAGTACCCAGGACTCAGGAGACACGTACAATTCCGGTGATGCATACCTTTTGTTGATTAATAGAAGAAAATATTCCCTTCCTGCTTTTGTTAGAAATTCCTCTGACATTTTTCTGAACTCTCAGATAAGCTTTATAAATTCAGCACTTTGAATGGACGTAGAAAAGAGAAGACTGCAGGCAAACAGGTACAACTTATTCAGGAGGATTTATTTCATCTCTGTGTATCACCTGAGGCCAGGGCCAACATCAGGGGGGGTCAGCCCATACATATGAAGGGGGGCCTGGGCTGTGGGCCCCAACCAATCAGTTGCTGTTCCACTGGTTCTGGTTCTGACTGCCAGATCCACACAGCGGACCGTCCACTGGAGTTCTCAGCTATAGAGAAACAGATGCCATATCAGGAGGCGGAAACTGTCTGGCGAACAAATTCCGCTGATGGGTGCGGGACAATGGAGTGAAGGGGGAGGAGCTCTCCGCTGTGTTAGGAGACCCCGTGTTGGTAGAGGTGCAGTGGAGGCGCAGACAAGGGAGCCAGGCAATAAGTACCCAGGACTCAGGAGACACGTACAATTCCGGTGATGCATACATTTTGTTGATTAATAGAAGAAAATATTCCCTTCCTGCTTTTGTGTTAGAAATTCCTCTGACATTTTTCTGAACTCTCAGATAAGCTTTATAAATTCAGCACTTTGAATGGACGTAGAGAAGAAAAGACCGCAGGCGAACAGGTACAACTTATGCAGGAGGATTTGTTTCATCTCTGTGTATCACCTGAGGCCAGGACCGCCATCAGGACGGGACAGCCCATACATATGTAGGAGGGCCAAGGAGTCCCAAGGGGCCCGAGCGGTGGGCCCCAACCAATCAGTTGCTGTTCCACTGGTTCTGGTTCTGACTGCCAGATCCACACAGGGAAAATATTCCCTTCCTGCTTTTGTGTTAGAAATGCCTCTACCATTTTTCTGAACTCTCAGATAAGCGTTATAAATTCAGCACTTTGAATGGACGTAGAGAAGAGAAGACTGCAGTCAAACAGGTACAACTTATGCAGGAGGATTTGTGTCATCTCTGTGTATCACCTGAGGCCATGCCAGCCATCAGTGGGGGACAGCCCATACACATGTAGGGGGACCCGGGAATCCCAAGGGGCCAGAGCGGTGGGCCCCAACCAATCAGTTGCTGTTCTGGTTCTGACTGCCAGATCCACAAAGCGGTCCATCCACCGGAGTTCTCAGCTATAGAGAAACAGATGCCATGTCAGGAGGCGGGAACTGTCTGGCGCACAAATTCAGCTGACGGGCGCGGCACAATGGAGTGAAGGGGGAGGAGCTCTCCACTGTGTTAGGAGACCCCGTGTTGGCAGAGGTGCAGTGGAGGCACAGACAAGGGAGCCAGGCAATAAGTACCCAGGACTCGGGAGACACGTACAATTCCGGTGATGTACCGTATACCTTTTGTTGATTAATAGAAGAAAATATTCCCTTCCTGCTTTTGTGTTAGAAATGCCTCTGACATTTAGCTTCCTACATGTAGAAAATAATTATTATACCTGAGATTGTTCAAAGCCAGAAGTCTTCAATTCCCATGGGGAAGGAACGTATATTGTAGAATGTAGAATGCTATTCAGAGGAGATGTGCTTGTATTTTGTGTCAGTAAACCTTATTAACCAGAAGTATTCATATGTGTAAAGTGCATCCTGCGATCCGATATCACCAGACGATCCGAGAAAACATACAGAGCTCTAATGTACAGCCAATAAAATGTGTATGCTAGCTATTGAGATCAACACATTTTATATGTTGGATTAAAAATACAATCAATTCAGTTCCCCTTAGGGCAGGGGTAGGCAACCTGCGGCTCTTCAGCTGTTGCAGGACTACAAGTTCCATCATGCCTCTGCAAGTCATAGCTGTAACTGTCAATTTTGCAATGTCTCATGGGGAATGTAGTTCCACAACAGCTAGAGAGCCGCATGTTGCCTACCCCTGCCTTAGGGCCAGTTCACGCCAAGATCATGCAGGAACCAGGGGCGGACTGACCATTTGGAAACTCGGGCACTGCCCGAGGGCCCGGGGTCAGCAGGGGGCCCATGAGATGCCCCTGGTACCTTTTTCATAGGCTTTTTTGAGTTTGGGCAAGGACACAGCGGCCCCATGATCCCCTATTGCCCGGGGGCCCCACGAGTTGTCAGTCCGCCCCTGGCAGGAACACATGCTGTGCCCCCGAGCAGTGTGATTTTGCAGTCCTTTCCTTTAAATGAGTTCAAATTGAACCGAAATGTGGTGAAAGCATTGCATGCACTTGATTTAAGCACTCGCCCTCCAGAGGATTTACCCCCCTTCCTGACCAGGCCATTTTGTGCGTTACGGCACTGCGTTACTTTGACTGACAATTGTGCGGTCATGCAATGCTGCACCCAAATGAAATTTACGTCCTTTTTTCCCACAAATGGTGCTTTCTTTAGGTGGTATTTGATCGCATGTGCGTTTTTTATTTTTTGTGCTATAAATAGAAAAAAAAAACAATATTTTTTTGACTTTTTGCTATTAACCCCCCTGGCGGTATTCCCGAGTATAGCTCGGGGAAAGGTGTCAGTACCACAAGCGGTGACCCCGAGCTACACTCAGGAATACACTGCAGCGTTGCTCCGGGATCCCTTCTGCACTTACCTTGTCCTGCGCTCCCGCGATGTCCCCCCCGCAGTGTCCCCAGCAATGTCCTCCAGCCGATGCCGGCATCTGTCTTCCAGGTTCCGTTCCCTGCGAGCCGCGGGATGTATGGGAAGTACCAGGGGCGGACTGACCACTCAGGCACTGCCCGAGGGCCCGGGGTCAGTAGGGGGCCCCATGAAATGCCCCTGGTACCTTTTTTATAGGCTTTTTCGGGTGTGCTTTGAGTTTGAGCAAGGACACAGGGGCCCCATGATCCCCTATTGCCCGGGGGCCCAATGAGTTGTTAGTCCGCCCCTGGGAAGTACGGAGAACGGAACCGGCGGGAAATTCAAAAATTTAAAAAGTGACATTCACTAAATACACTAAAATCACATAGTATAACATTCCTGTATCAAACCATTTCACATACATTTTGTCCCGAGTGCTTTGTCCTGCGCCCTGCCTGCATTTTTACTGTTCTTTCTGCCTGGAAACTGAGAAACGTCCATGGCGTTCAAAAAGCGTCCCTTTAGGTCAAAAGCAGTTTTAGACCGGCTAGAGAACAGCGATAGTAAATCAGAACCACTTGCAGAATTGAGTGATAATGATTCGTGGGGGAAATTCCTCATCAGACACTGAAAACGATTCTGCGACTTTGCTCAGCGATGTGCGAACTTGGCGCTCTATTTCAAATTTCAGTGTTTTTGGTTTGATTATATTATTGAATTAAATTTATTATTATTATACTATTTTTTATGATTATTTCTTAAATTATAATTTATAATTTTGTGTTTCAAATTTTATCATATCCGGAATGTTTAATAGACTCTTGTTCGTACAGATTTCAGGGAGTTATTCCTAAAAATTATAGGCCTACAATAACAAAACAACATATTTCCATTGAAAACAATGTACCGCTTTGAGCACAGAAATACTGACATAATCAGACCGCTAGGGAGGTTATCTGACAATTGCGCAGTCATGCAACGCTGCACCCAAATGAAATTTTTTGTCCTTTTTTCCCACAAATAGAACTTTCTTTTCAGTGGCATTTGATCACCTGTGCAGTTTTTAATATTTGTGCTATAAATAGAGAAAAAAAAAAAACAATATTTTTGACTTTTTCCTATTAAACATATCCAGTAAAAAAAATGTAAAAAATCAAATTTCGTCATAAATTTTAGGCTAAAATGTATTCTGCTACATGACTTTGCTGAAGAAAAAAAATCCCAATACATGTAAATTAATTGGTTTACATGAACGTTATAAATGGCAATATATATACTGGGATTTTTTTTTACTAGTAATGGCGGAGATCAGTGACTTATAGTGGGACTGCGGCAGGCATTCTGACACTGGGGGGGGAACTGACTTAGTGTCACTGACATCCCCAGTGACACCAATACAGTGATCAGTGCTAATAAAAAAGCACTGACACTGTACTAATGGCACTGGGCAGAAAGGGGTTAACATTTGGGGCGATCAAAGGGTTAACTGTGTGCTATTTTACTGTGTGCTGTGTTAGTGCTTTCAACTGTAAGCACACTGCTTTCTATGGCTGTTCTATGCAGAGCCATACAAAGCAGTGTGCAGGAGCTGACATACAGTTCTCTCCCTCCATTGGTAATGCTCGGCGATTACCGGGTAGCGGCGAGTAATCACCGGCCGGGACCCGGTGATTGCCAGCCAAGGCTGCAAATATCGGCACAGGAAATGCAAAATCGTGTGTGTATATATATATATATATATACACAGTCAGGTCCATAAATATTGGGACATTGACACAATTCTAACATTTTTGGCTCTATACACCACCACAATGGATTTGAAATGAAACAAACAATATGTGTTTTAACTGCGGACTGACAGCTTTAATTTGAGGGTATTTACATCCAAATCAGGTGAACGGTGTAGGAATTACAACAGTTTGCATATGTGCCTCCCACTTGTTAAGGGACCAAAAGTAATGGGACAGAATAATAATCATAAATCAAACTTTCACTTTTTAATACTTGGTTGCAAATCCTTTGCAGTCAATTACAGCCTGAAGTGTGGAACGCATAGACATCACCAGATGCTGGGTTTCATCCCTGGTGATGCTCTGCCAGGCCTCTACTGCAACTGTCTTCAGTTCCTGCTTGTTCTTGGGGCATTTTCCCTTCAGTTTTGTCTTCAGCAAGTGAAATGCATGCTCAATCGGATTCAGGTCAGGTGATTGACTTGGCCATTGCAGAACATTCCACTTCTTTCCCTTAAAAAACTCTTTGGTTGCTTTTGCAGTATGCTTTGGGTCATTGTCCATCTGCACTGTGAAGCGTCCAATGAGTTGTGAAGCATTTGGCTGAATATGAGCAGATAATATTCCCGAAACACTTCAGAATTCATCCTGGCTGCTTTTGTCAGCAGTCACATCATCAATAAATACATGAGAACCAGTTCCATTGGCAGCCATACATGCCCACGCCATGACACTACCACCACCATGCTTCACTGATGAGGTGGTATGCTTAGGATCATGAGCAGTTCCTTTCCTTCTCCATACTCTTCTCTTCCCATCACTCTGGTACAAGTTGATCTTGGTCTCATCTGTCCATAGGATGTTGTTCCAGAACTGTGAAGGCTTTTTTAGATGTCGTTTGGCAAACTCTAATCTGGCCTTCCTGTTTTTGAGGCTCACCAATGGTTTCCATCTTGTGGTGAACCCTCTGTATTCACTCTGGTGAAGTCTGCTCTTGATTGCTGACTTTGACACACATACACCTACCTCCTGGAGAGTGTTCTTGATCTGGCCAACTGTTGTGAAGGGTGTTTTCTTCACCAGGGAAAGAATTCTTCGGTCATCCACCACAGTTGTTTTCCATGGTCTTCCAGGTCTTTTGGTGTTGTTGAGCTCACCGGGGCGTTCCTTCTTTTTAACCCTTTGAGGACCAAGGGACGTATTTGTCCCATGTTTTTAATTGCGTGTATCATCTGATTAAGAACTTAAAACTCTTTTTTTTTTTTTTTGGTTTGATTCAAAATATTAGTTCTTATCAACAAACAACAAATGGATCTAGCTTTTTGCCAATTATTTCATGAAATGGCCTAGTCACAGCAACTGAAGTGTACGAACTTTAAAAACAAAAAAATTGATTCTTTTGGCGTTCCAAAATCTTACGGTCCTCAAAGGGTTAAGAATGTTCCAAACAGTTGTTTTGGCCACGCCGCTAATGTTTTTGCTATCTCTCTGATGGGTTTGTTTTGTTTTTTCAGCCTAATGATGGCTTCACTGATAGTGACAGCTCTTTGGATCTCATCTTGAGAGTTGACAGCAACAGATTCCAAATGCAAATAGCACACTTGAAATGAACTCTGGACCTTTTATCTGCTCATTGTAATTGGGATAATGAGGGAATAACACACACCTGGCCATGGAACAGCTGAGAAGCCAATTGTCCCATTACTTTTGGTCCTTTAACAAGTGGGAGGCACATATGCAAACTGTTGTAATTCCTACACCGTTCACCTGATTTGGATGTAAATACCCTCAAATTAAAGCTGACAGTCTGCAGTTAAAGCACATCTTGTTCCTTTCATTTCAAATCCATTGTGGTGGTGTATAGAGCCACAAATGTTAGAATTGTGTCAATGTCCCAATATTTATGGACCTGACTGTATATATATATATATATACCCAGAAATAGCAAAATCACACACACATATATATGTATATATACACATGTGATTTTGCACATCCCTGCCGCCCTGTAGATGTATATTAGCTATAGGGCGGCAGGAAAGGGGTTAAAAACACAATCAATTAAGTTCACTTTAGGGCCAGTTCCCACCAGGATCACACAGGAACACATGCTGCGGGCCCCCCCCCCCCGCATTCTGGTATGAACTGGCCCATAATGATATTTGTGACTGGAGCAATGGAATAAACAACCCTACCCAAAAGGAACAAAACTGTTTGCTGCAAACTGATTATAAAGTATGAGCTGGAGTTTGGTATTAGTTTATTAGTGTATCTAAATCTGCTAGTATATTTAACACTCCCCCCCCCCCCAAACTGACAATACTTCTGTCCAAAGATGTCCCTGTGCTCTTTCATCCAGAGTGGGAGTGCTCTAATACAGGAGGTGTGTTACCGGCCAGATCACCAGGTGAAAACATAGGAGGAAAAAGCCTAAAAAAAGTGGTTGCATTGAAGGACTCGGTGTGATGACAAGTGGTTGGACAGCCAGTGGGCAGCTCCTGGGGAATGTTGGTGGTCAGGCCCGGGGCACTCAGGCCTAAAGCTGTGTAAGGGGCCCCAAAATTTCTAATGGCTGCCCTGCCTGAGGTCAGTCACTTCACTGGGTATCTGCAAGGGTTTACATCCATATTTAACACTCCCCCCCCCCAAACTGACAATGATTCTGTCCAAAGATGTCCCTGTGCTCTTTCATCCAGAGTGGGAGTGCTCTAATACAGGAGGTGTGTTACCAGCCAGATCGCCAGGTGAAAACATAGGAGGAAAAAGCCTAAAAAAAGTGGTTGCACTGAAGGACTCGGTGTGATGGCAAGTGGTTGGTTTCGGTTGGACAGCCAGTGGGCAGCTCCTGAGGAATGTTGGTGGTCAGGCCTAAAGCTGTATAAGGGGCCCCAAAATTTCTAATGGCTGCCCTGCCTGAGGTCGGTCACTTCAATGGGTATCTGCAAGGGTTTTACAACCATTTTAAATATTGGGGTTCTCATCACTTTCTTTCCCGGTGATAACGATGTCCAAAACAAATTGGGCAAATCTTCCATGAGGGAAGGCAGAAAGCAAGAAATACCCAACAGATATCCTAATCCTCACCCACTCTTTTAAAAATGAAAAAAAAAAATGGCTTTAGATATAGTTCAAGCTATATGAAGGTGGATCACAGAACAAAACCAAAATGTGGCTTACCTCTGGAGATTGGAGGTTACGTTCTGCAGCTGCTTCTCTTGATGCAACTTCACATAACTGCCATACATTTGAAATAACAAAGGCCAGCATGCACTTATGTTTGTACTAGCATAGCAAGAGTACTTAGTACTTTGGTAAAAATATCTGGATGTCTGGAATAACTAGACATTTCTTTTCTTGTCTCTTTGGTTGATAGAACTTTAGAGCACATATCTTATGTAACAGCCCTATGTTCAGACATTCCATGTGCTAACTCTGCCGTGTCTGATGATATGAAAGGATGAGGATGGAAAAGTTTTGTTGAGTAGCTGCATTATCCTGTATAATCAAAATGCATTGTTCTCTTTCATTATTCAAAGCAAACTTCGACTGAATTAAAAGTATCAAGAAAAGTTTGTGTATTTGTTTTTGTAGTTTCTTACCAGCTACAGAACCAATATGCAGATGTAGTAGAGTGGATCTGATGCAGTTTTGGATTTGTAGTCATTATTTCCCAAGCTAGAGTCATCATTACTGG